CCCCCCCAACAACCCCTCCCTCAAAGAGAAAGACAACAAACTAGACATGTTACAAACCTGCGGACTATTAAAAAAACAACACAAGGTTTAAATTTTGGCATCCTCAATGATCCATACCACTAAAACCATTCTCGGCTTTCCAAAATTTACGTTATTCCATTATAATCTGAAAGACCAAATCCTTACTAGCAGTATTTGTGGTGCCCTTTCCATATATATCTCCTTTTTTTCTTTTTGAAAACTCCAGTAAAAGTCAGTCCTACTTTGTAAACAACAGTTTGAGAATGAAATGAAATCAAGGCAGAATCAAATGGCAAACTGCACAAACCCCTCCACCATAAATGACAACATTGATGCACACAAAGAACGGAGGCTGTTACCTGGCGTCTGGCTGTGAGGTAACCAACAAGTTGATCATCGGGGCGCTGTTCGACCGCTTCAGACTGGTCCCGTTCTGTACGGGGCTGGGCGAGGAGGAGCTGGGCGAGTCCACTTCCATCATGAATGTTGCTCGATACTTTTGGTTCAAACAAATCTCTCAACAGATCTCGGTCTCAATACCAGCCGATTTAATTTAAAACGAAAAAAAGAAATACAATTTCAGGATGCAAAACTTGGAACAGAGAAACAGAAGTTCGATCTTCCCCTGACTCTCATCATAGTGGCATGCAGCGTCGTCTCTTCTAAAACGAACAAGTCCGAGTCTGAAACAAAACCCCAAAAATATTCATTTAAATTAAGCAAAATAGTATCATAATTATAGGTCACATCCAATCCAACCTTTACTTAGTAAAAAGAGATTTAAAATTGAGCTGTATTAAAGTAACTAGCTATTTCGTTATTAAAGAGAGAGCAGATTAAAATACTTGATCTAAAAAAAAAAAAAGGTATTTTTTTACTTTCCCTCCCGTCTCACACTCAGCTACCAGTTGTCTATTTTCTACTAAATATTGATGCGCTGAACACGAATATCAACTTCATTTCCGTCGCAAATTAATGGTTTTTGAAATATTTGATTGTTTTTAACCGAGATAGACATGCTTTGGACCAATCGGGGGGTTCCAGGGGGGCCTTTAGAATTAGATCTAGATCTCTAGAATCTAGA